CATGTTGTTAGCGAATAAATATTTTTTATTTTTCAAATATTTTTTGTGTCAGAGTGTATAAAAGGAGAAAGCCACCATTCAATTTGGCTGTTTACCCTTTAGTAGACGCGTGGTTTACCATTGTAGACTATGTTTCGGTTCCTGTATATAAAATTCATTGTATCTGACTGTCAAAATTATATAAAGTATTAATTCAAAGTAATTAATTAATCATCTCTCAGTGTCAGAATATATTTTCTATCGAATTCTTATCGAAAATAGATATAGTATGAACAATAAATTATATATAGGAAATTGATGTATCTTTGATCAGTAATATATAAACAACGTTGGTCTACGTTTGTAGAACACGTGTCCTCTGGAAGGTTAACTAATTAACTACACAAATATAAAAAAAACTAAAGATAATGGAATATCTCGACTCGAATTTATTTTGTTCTAACAATGGCGAGAATCCTGAGATCAAAAGGAGAAATTTTACGTCACAATCGCAATCGTCCATTGGCAAGTATGAACGGCGTCTCGACAACGACAGCGGAACTTTCGGGGAGGGCGGAAATCGGTGCCATCGATCCCCGTCGCGATTCCACAAAAAACGTCAAAGAGATCGCCGGTTCGATGATGAACGATTGTAGGTTGCCCCGTTGGCCTGGCGACGCGGCAGTCTTTAAAATATTCAAGCGAGAGTGTGTGTTTGACGGCCAATCGGGAAGGACGAAAAGTCATGGTGGATGCAGGGACGCTCGCTCTTTCGAATTCGACTCTTTCATCCCACGAGCTCACTCCCAGAAGCCCAGCTGATTCGCAGTCGGCTCGATGGACTGCGCATGGGAGAAAGAGTTAGGACAGGGATAGAGGATAGAGAATAGAGAACAGGTGATAAAAGAGGATGAGAGGAGGAGAAGGCCCATTGTGTTCTTCAATGACAATCGCCGCGGCCGACGTATATTTGATCGAATCAATCGATTGGTTTCTATAGTTCTTCTAAACATAGCTGCGGCGAGGAAGAAATATCTGACGGGAAAAAGCGAGAGAAATTGAGAATGGAGAGAAAGAGAGAGAGAGAGAGAGAGAGAAAGAGAGAGAAAGGGGGGGGAAGGTGTAGGGGCGAGAGAGTCTCTGGAGTGCCAGACGGTATACGATGAGGGAACGGAGAGATAGAGAACGAGAAAGAGCTGTTAGAGCGAAGAGCGCGAGGGATCCGGGTTTACCCAGTAGCTCCAGGCTCATTTGAATGCGACGCTCAATAATGTCCCACAGGAGTACCGAAATATCTCAATGTGCGTATGTATATCGTCGTCCGTGGCGTAGCTTACGAGATCTCGGGCGATATTTGCTTCGGCGGTGCTATCCATCAAGGTCGCACAATACAATTCATATATCCGGCTCCGTTGACACGGAGGACGCTCGGCCACGATAGTAATTTTCGATGCTGTCGATAACGATCGCTAAACTCCCAAAAGATGATTAGCTCAAATGTGTCGCTCTGATGAAACTGTGTCGCGACATCGCCTGAGCGGTTCGCGTTCTAGAGACGTGTCCACATGAGCGTGAATAATTTTCATCAATTTTGCGAATCCCAGAAGACGTTTTCAGCTATAAATTGTGAAATTATAAATTTTTACGGCAAAAAGACAATGGTGTTATTTTATAGAATTCCGCCTTAGCTCTCAAAGCAAGTATATATATATATATATATATATATGTGTGTGTGTGTGTGTGTGTGTGTGTGTGTGTGTATGTGTGTGTATTTGTATGCAGAAAAATACTCTGTCCGTTAATGATAATACGATAAAGTGTCCTAAGGACACTGTCGAATCTTCGTTCGCCCGGTAGCAACCAAGGAAGTCACAGGCAAAGAGCAACATTCGCCTGAAGGGATGGATTTTCCTGTCGGAGGTGGAGTTTAGAGGTCGGGAAATTAGTTTAGTTATGCGCCCGGCAGGGACGTCTCTTACGTTTCCACTGCGGACGTAAGTCCTCGACGGAGCACGTACATGTTCTAGGGCTCTCCTCCTCACGCCGACTCTTCTCTCTCCCCCCCTCTCTCTCTCTCTCTCTCTCTCTCTCTCTCTCTCTCTCTCTCTTTCTCTCCCTTTCTTTCTTTTATTCCTCATAAACTTTCTCTCTGTCTTCACACCATCCGTTTCCTCTTGCTCGTTCGTCGCGAATTCCGAAGAATCGAGCGTCGGCGAGCGACTCCTCGAAGAATCAAGCTAGGGAAGAAGATTTTCCGACGCGAGAGTAAACCGAGTGAGCGTCTTCAAGGACGGAGCAGCAACTACCCTCAATGGAGGGTAGTTGCTACTCACTCCGAAGCAGCTGGTCAACGAAGACGTCATTGACTCGAGATCTCCATGTCTCTCTCTCTCTCTCTTGCGCGCGTGCAAATTCCCTCGACTATCGAGCGAGCGACCTTAAACGCGCTCGTTATAAGTGCCGCTTTGTTCGCTGCGCCGCACTCGAGTGCCATTTGAAATTTAAAACGTTAACGGGGCGTTCTGAATGGGAGAAATTAAGTCCCGTTCGCTGTCGACTTAATCCCGCCGGTGAAGTATTTCGGATACTTTCGCGACAGATGAGTGTCCGCACGTGCGTCGCGTCGACTATATAGTGTCGACAGGGCGATAAACTTGTGAAATTCGCACTTGTGCTGAAATTGCACGAAATCGCAGTTTCGTCTATTTTAATAAAAGTACGTCGTGCATTGAATTTCTTTGCAAATTTCTCTACAGTTCTATAATTAATGCCTGCTTTATATAAAGGTAAATATCACGAAGATATTAAGTCGCTTTAAGAACTAAGAACTAAATATATATAGAGTTAAATAAATATATAAGAGGGTAAACCTATGACATATGAATAACACAAAAGTAAGATGACCATATTTCCCAGCCCTGAATTCGGGATACTTCATAAATGTGTGAAGCGGGGAGAGGGGGATAAAAAGATCCGAAAATTATTTGACAATCATTGAAAATTATGACAAATCGGTGTCCCGAATAGCATTCGAAAAAATTCGGGACAAAGAGTGAAAAATCGGAACGTCTGGTCACCTTAGCTGTATGCGTCAAGAAGGGAGGAGATTACTCCGTAATAATGTATTTACGATATGTTCTGACGACTGCACGTCGTTGTTTTCGGCACTTTAATACTTATTTCCACAGGAAACTCACAGGACACAAGCGAAAGACATATGGAATATGGAGCGTTGTGTCCATGGCAATTACTCGGCATGAAAAAATCACGCGCTGTCAATCACGTACACCAAAGTTCATTAGCGCGCCGAAAGTGCCAAAAGGGCATGAATGTGAACGCGCCAGTGATGCGAACGAGGTCGCGCGTCTACAACGACGCAATCTACGGCGGACGCCTGAACCAATCGCGTTCGTTTCGCACTACGAGGTTGTCATCGTAGTTATTCAATCTAGACGTTGGTAATGAATCGCGCGAAATGCTCGATATTTTCGCGCCAAGCAGCCATGGACACACATCGATCCACATCGCTCCGCGTTTCTCGCGTCTTTTATCCGTCGAAAGTGCGTCTCGCGCGTTAATAAATCTCGGGAATATTGAGAATAGCAATGTGCGATCGCCGGAGCGTATCGTGAAAACATCATTTGTAAGTAATCTTCTCGTTTCTCCTCGCGGTATATGTGAGGTGACCAGATTTCCCAGCCCTAAATTCGGGACACTTTATAAATGTGTAAAGCGGGGGACGGGGGGTAAAAAGATCCGAAAATTATTTGACGATCATTGAAAATGATGACAAATCGGTGTCCCGAATAATACTGGAGAAAATTCGGGACAAAGGGTGAAAGATCGGGACGTCTGGTCACCTTGACAAAAGTCAATCGTACCAGCAATGCGTAACAAAGAAATCTTGATAATCTTTGCCCTATTATTCTCGGGATATTAACTGTAAAGTTTTATTACGCAAGCATATGCAGAACATCTATAATAAAACATATTTCTTCTAATTTGATATATTTGTTTGATATAAAATATAACATATTTATATAAAGAACATTACTTCTTCTATATGTATCTAATTTTGAAAAATGCGATTATGATACGTCTTCAAATAATTTGATATATTTGTTTGATATAAAATATAACATATTTATATAAAGAACATTACTTCTTCTATATGTATTTAATTTTGAAAAATGCGATTATGATACGTCTTCAAATAATTCTGCGTAATTTCATTGATTCATCGTATTTAATATCTCATCATATTCGAAATCCTATCATTGTATTCGAAATCTTTGGAAGAGACTGTCATAATAATAAATTCAACATTTAAGCATAATTTAGTCATAATAATAAAATGAACATTTAAGCATAATTTAGTAAAGTATAAATTTTGGCGAAATTTACCGCTAGATTGAAAAGAAATTTAAATGTTTTAATAAGAATATTTATGAAATTAGCAATATATAAATGAAAATCTAGCAATACCGCATATATGAGAAGTTAGCGCCAAATCTAGGATTACCTGACTGATGGATTACCTATCGTAATATCATTTCAATATTTAGTTCTACATATATTTAATATTCATTTTAACATAACGCCTATGCATTTCTAATTAGAATTACATGAGATTGATCAAATACAATTTATGCTCATATTTTTTTTACAATTGATATTGACATCGAATGAGTGTTTTGCAACTTTTGTTTTTTACTTTAAAACAAAAATTAAGTATTTTAATATTTACAAATTTTACTTCATTAATATTGTTACAAAATTATTTTTTAATAATTTTAAATAATCTTAATAATAAGATACTGCTGAATTGGAAAGTAACGCTAAAACCTTCTTAAATTCATCGAGCATCTATAGTATATTGGAGTTTATATACGGAAATCGCGTGTTAAAGTAACAGTTAATTAGTTAAAGGACAAAATATACGGAAATAGCGTGTTAAAGTAACAGTCAATTAGTTAAAGGACAAAATAGCTGGATTTTATCTTGATTTCATATCGTCTTACTTGAGAATCCTCCTCAGTGAAGATGGCATCGAACGCGAACATCTTCGGCGCCGCTACAGTGGGCCTGCGATCCTCTGCCGATGAGGATTGCCCGGAAGCTGGATCTACTAAGGTAACTTGCTTTTTCCGTTTGTCCGCGTTGAAAAAACTTCCTCCATCTCCGGGTGACACTCTCAGCATGACTTTCACCTGGAAAACACACAGAGATCACGATTAAATATCTTTTCTTTCGAGATGGACGATAGGATTTCGAATTTGATGAGATATTAAATACGATAAATCAATGAAATTATGCAAAATTAGATATGTGTTCGGGAATTTGTATTTTTACCTTAATTGAAGGTATTATTATAATTAACGATAATGTATTAACACGTTCGCTTCCAACGGCATACATGTGTGACGCACCAATCTCTTAAGGTCTTAAAATCATCTTAAAATTTTCAATTTTACTTAATATGTTTGCTACCAACATCATGTGTGATGTTTTGACGTTGTGATGTGTGTTAATTGCATGACTATGATATATTTCTTTATATGTCCATATATGGACAAAGCAAACTATCTGTTTCATACAATTACGTGAAGACAAATGTAAAGACCAAGATGGTTTGTAGAGAGAATTCCCGAAATAAACCGTGTTAGCGGACGTGTTAATTAACGTGAAATTGAATCAGTTTTCGAATCCACTAATTGGATAGAAAATGGATTTAGTGATTAAAGACGAAGCTTTCTCGTCACTTAAGCTCGCCGTGGATCCGCTTCAATAAGTTAATGCTGTATGATGAATTAGCTCTGCTTTTGCACCGAATAATGCGCTCATCGGAATTATCTAATAGACAGTTTCTACCGGCAAATGAACGTCATGTCTAAAATTACCATGACCCACGTTAACCGAAGGGTCGTTGACCACGAGCCACGATACACACCGAACCCATATCTCGCAAAATTATTAGACAGTAAAATTGAGTTTGATAAAACAGTCATAGCTATATTAATCCGCAGCGATGTCTACCAGTCGTTTTGTGTAAACATTATGATATAATCCGTAGTATCATTTGATGTAATTAATAGAGAAATAACAATGATGATATGTGTAACAACGATATTGTTTCGATATTACCGGTGTACACGGAATTATGTCAGTATTGCATATCGGGTAATTATGCTTACAATTTAATTGGAGTGCGAAGGAAACTTGATATTGCGATTTTTCCCTTCTGTTGTTATCGCCATTACCAGCAACATAAATTTCCAATGAGGGGGAATTTATTTTGATCTAAAAGAATCCTAGTAGAAATATATATAGTTTGCACAAATATACATCCAATTATTATCTAACGTATTTTCATTAGTTGTACAAATTCCTACTGCGTAGGAACTTAATAGAGTTTTATTCAACGGTTGAAGTGGTTTATTATACAATATGTGGACCGATTCTTTCAAAATATAGTATCAGTAATATCAGTTCAATAAAGTGCACGTATTATGTCTGCCGTGAATAAAAGTAAAACTTATTTATTTATATTGTGTTAGAACGGAGCTTAAAATTGCGTGAACGTGTGTAGAGTAAAGAGAAGGAAATTAAAGCAAATAAGGTATTTGACAATATTCAATTCTGTGACAGAGATGACAACCAAGGTTAGAAATGGAAATCAGCAGAAAAATAGAGTACTATATGTTAGTAGTACAAAATTTTGCGTTGAAAGAACACATCAAACTATTTTGATAGTAATAAGACAAATGAAAACTGTCATGGTATCTCAGACTGTCATGTATCTCAGACTCAGAATTTGATGAAACAATATAAATATATTGAGAAAAAATACTTGAAAACTCATTTGTGAATGAATGTAGGATAAAAGTTTATTTCACAAAAAAAAACTTTATTTTATAGAAATAAACTTGATATCATACAAATAAATATTCAAATTTTTTTCTCAATACTCAACAATGAATAAAAGAATATATAGTTGTGAAAGATGTCACATAAAAGGCAGAGAATATATTAGGAATATATTAAGCTAATAAACTATTTCCGATATGACTTTCATTAGCATTAAGAATTTTCAATTAGAAGGCTGTATAAAAAATAATACTACTGCAGTAAGCTTATTCCCATTTTATAAGCGCAGGAGACTTGACTATTAAACAATTGAATAGTTTTTTGCCCATTTTTTGTTCTGTTTTTATTTAGCAAATAAGAATTCAGATTTTGCGCATCTCTCAAGAAAAGCGTTAGTTCTTGATTAGGCTCCCAAATAGCTCAGTTGCTAGACAAAAATTTGTGGACAACTGTCCAGTAACCGCTAAGAACTGCATTCAATTTTTACCAGGGGAAATCAACGTAAGGATGAGCACACATCGTGCTACTTAAAAATGCCAAGCGCATGACATTTAATTACGATATACTCCACCGTAATGCACACACAGACGTTCGGGATACGTAACGGAGAAACGCGTTCATTCAAATATACGAGAAGATATTTGTCGGCCACTCGTGGAATCGAATAACGTCCGCGAACGCTCGAGCATCTCGGCAAACAAGTAGTCGCTGTTTTATTAAAAATTATTGCGTCGACTGGACCTGCGCGACTTCAACTACCTCCGCGGCTCCTAATCTCACAAACATGGCGAACGTAGTGTTACGCATTATTGCAGCGACAACTCATATCTCGGGCCGTACTCGCGAATTATTTATTCAATCGATGCGGTCTCGTGCGGGCCGATAAGACGAGGTGCGCGCGAAGTCACGACGATGCATTATTAAAACCGCATCCGGTCTCTCCGTGCACCCCCAGATCGATGTCGTCGGTACTGCGAGCGAGCGGTCCACGATTTGCCCGCGTGCAACGCCGCCAGTCCGTTCGTCTGTCTGTCTGCCTGCCTGCCTGTCTGTTTGTCTGTCTGTCCAGGAAATTGGGTTTGGAGATTTCGTTCAGATTGCGGCGCACGTCCTATCTTTTGCATGCGGGAACGCCCCCGCGGCTGCGACAACACACAGGTACAAAAACAGACAAGTACCTTTTTTTGTTTCTGTCCTCCGACCAAGTAAGCAACCAAGCAACCGACCGACCGACCACCGCTCCCTTGTACCACCGCCTTTCCTCGCGCCGACTCGCACCCTCTCTCGCGCGTCTCTTCACCGCGTAATAGTTTCGCGAAAGGACCGCTACTGATCGAGCGGCCGGAAATAAAACAGCTCCCTCGGCGGTCTTATTGGAGCGAACTCTGCATCCATCGATCGCGCGAGCCTCTTCACGGCACCCTTCACCCTTCCGTGAATGGTATCCCCCGCTCGAAGGTGAGCCGACACCCCGCTTGTCCTTTCCGCATCCTGGAAACCGGCTGGCCGCTAGGTGACCCTACGTGCTCGCCCGCAACCGGCCGGTATTTCGTTACGAAGCTGATTTCAAGGGTGGACATTAGTTCCGCTCGAACGGATCGAACGGAAGAAGATCGGAGCTTCGGGTCCTCGAAGCGTGCGAAGAACACTCCACGCCACCGAGCCCGCTCCGGCTCGTCACGGCCATTAGGCCGTGGCAATTCGTGGCGACGGATCGTAAGTTTACAAGGAAATAGCGTTAAGTCCGGAAATACAGCTTCGAGGCAAGTGGAATTCGAAATTTAAATATCTCTGAGAGATGAATTAGTCTGTACGGAATGGAGCTTGGTCTGTGTGGTATTTTATTGTTACAAATATATGAACTTTTTTTAACAAAAAAATGGCCCTCAAAAATATCATAAGCCCTAAAAATTGAGAAAAAAATAGTTGAAAATTTATTTGTCAGATATAAAGTTTATTTCTGTGAATAAACTTTATATCTCACAAATAAATTTTTAAATATTTCTTTTCTCAGTACATAAAATAATGTTGATTATATACATATTAGAATATTAGGACAATGTTATTATTAATCAATTTATATAAAAAGTATAAATAAAAAAATATCCTTCTTTAGAATTAAATAAGTTTAGAATTAAAAAAATATCCTTCTTTAGAATTAAATAAGTTAGTAGCGCAATAATTCAGGTTAATAGTTATGACAATTTAAAAGCATTGGATCATTCATACAATGTTTGGCAAAACGAAGAAATCGATATTCTTTTAATCAAAATAATGTGATTTCTCTGATATAATGGTCACAATATGGACCACAATATGACTATAATATATCATATTCCAAGAGAGAACGCAATGACACATGCAGAGTTCTGAAAGTAGTCATGTTTTTAAAAAATGTTAAAAATATTTGTAGAAAATAGGAGGAATAATCAATATTGTGTGAGTTAAGTACATCACAATATATAAAAGTTACTTCATACTTTTTAGGTCATTATTTTTGTTGAAAAAGTATTTTACTTTATACTTTTTAATTATTTATTACTGAAAATTAGTTTTCGAAATCCATTAAAAATAAAAATTTCATTTTGTATCTCTAGATGTTCTCAAATTTTCAAAAAAGTAATGGAATTATACAATTTCCAGGTAACTCGAGTAAACTCGGATAATGGCACTAATTTTAAAAGCATAGAGATAATATATTGCTTGTACAAGCTACAACAAATCTAACGATTTTCGAGTTATGAAGGAACATATAAACAAATAACATATACACATACATACAAGACAAATCGGGAACGTCCTATTTTTGAAAAAGAAAAGAAAAAACCAGTGTTTCCCTGTAGATAATACACGAAATTTTGTAGTCACGAATAATAATGATCCATTTTTCGTCTTTTTGAATGTAATACCTATCTCTCGCGAGCCTTCGAAATCCAATCCAGACAACGAGTCGGCGGAAATGAATTTTTGAAAAGTGCCGTCGCGATAGTTTCTGTCGCAAAAAAAATAAACGCAATCGATTTCTCGCGGATGGGACGCAATTTCGCTATACGCAATAAATTGAAGCATAAAATTGAGTGGAATATAAAAACATATCGTGTATGCATGCTACACGCAAAATTGAAATTGGCCATTAAGCTAAATGTTACACGCATCTATTGTTTATTGATACACGACATATTCGGCAAAGTGTAACCGGCAGAGTGTTATCATTGTAGCCTTCTCGTTAGTTGATTTCAATTGCTTCAATGTGATTCCAATTAAGTTAACATCTTCCGGCATTTTTCTTCGCCATCCGATAATGACAAATCGAGGGCGAATTCTCAGCGTGTTTGTATGCGAA